AGATTTCACAAAGGCAAAGGTAAGAAAAGTCTGTGTGGTTATCCTGGGGCACTTTAAACAAATATTTATGAAAATCCTCTTGTGAGTATTATAAACCTTCTTAGTCATTTTTTCTCAAATATTGGACATAGCTCCTTGAAATTGTCATTCCGTCTTTTTTTTCTAATATGGTTTCAAATATCTCTTCACTTACTGACCATAGCTTTTATACCTCAAAATAAGCTGAGCAAATAATCATCTAAACCTAAACTGTGTTTTCCAAGTATAAATTCTCATGTGGTTCATCACCCCTACCCTATATAAAACAAAATACTAACTAATGCAAGCTTGTTCACATCTACAATAGTATCTTGATATCTTAATATAACATTTTAAAAATCACAAAAATAAGACATAAAATACAAGCTTTTAGCAAAGTTAACTAGACTTCATTGTTATTTGAGACTACTGAATAAACTACCACTCAGTAATGTTAAAGTACATTTTTTTGGTGTTTTCTCCATGTCATTTTCATGTTACTGCCCTGATAACATGCTCCAAATTCTCCCTGAATCAAATTATTTCATTAACAAACATACATCTGTCTACCTTAAAACTAGTCTCATTCATAGAGAAAAACCTAAGTCTTTTTAAATCCTGTTTTCTGTTGTTGGTAAACTTATCAGTTTGACCACCTACCATAAAAATAAAGCAGCTCTTTTTCTTCTGCTGGACCCAGCACATATCCTCTGTTTATTTTATATGTTATTCATTCTATGCCTGCTAGGCGCTAACCTCTATGAAGAACCAGCCAAGGGCTAATGACTTGACTCAAAGATGACATGATTATCTGCCCTTAAGTTCCTCAAAAGTCTTCTGAGAGAAAAAAATATATATTTGTAATACAATATGATAAATGCTATTAAAGAAATCTACGTGAAGTGCTTTGGTAAATGCTGTTGAATTGGAATTTTAAAAGCATATAAACTTCAGACCTTTTTCCAAAAAACTTTTCCCTTGAAACAAAACTGATTTCTTCTTATGACTTACCAAAGGAGACAGAAGGATATCTGAATTGACCTGAATTATATACAGTGTTCTTTTAGTGAGTTGTAAGACATTTTTCTCCTTGAAAGTGAACACTGAACAAATTAGTTGTTAATGGTATCATTTTAACAGGAAAATACAACTAAATAAACTACTGTATCAGCCAAGTACTCAAGTTTATTTGACATTTGATATTTTTATAAAATAACAAACTTTGCTAAAAGATCTTTACAAATAATTTAGTTCAGAGTCTCAAGGTCAACAAATCACTACGGCATCCATTTGATGTCTTATTCTTTACAAATATTCTGTGCGGTAAGTAGCATTATCTCCAATTTACAAATGAAGAAATCCTTGTTAATGTTATTTATTTATTTAGATGTTTAAAATGTATCAAGTGGCACAAAGGATAGAAGTGCCAGCAATCTAGGAAGTGCAATCCTAGATTGAGCAATGGTCTTGAGCCTTCAAATCCTCTGCTTTGCCCTCCACATTATAACTCCCATCCAACATATGAATCATGTTACTAAAGTAGGACAAGTCGTGTGTCTCAAAAAACTAAAATTTAAAAAATTATATATGTAGTTAAGATCATCTATGAAATCACTGTAGATCTTTTCTAGGTAGATTTTATAATGTTGGTATATTATCTCAGTTCTCAATGTTAGAATACGGGTAAATTTTAATGTTGGTATAATTGAGAAAATAGTTCATCTTTATGCCAGAATATGGGATTTTGTAGGTATTTAGACAGTTGAAAACTTCCTAAAATTAATGATTTTATAATGTGTATTAAACAATTACTATTGTTTTCTGAGAATGTTATTAAAAAAATTTTTACAATGAAATTACTGTCATGACTTATTTTTTTTTTAACAAAATACAAATGAACAGCTCTGTGGAAGTCTTTCCCTTACATGGAACCACTAAAATATTTCTGTAAAAATTCTTTACCCTAAATTGAAGCAAACTGTAAACAGAATAGGGATTATGTAAAAACTAGAAGAGGAATTATCATTTTTATTTTCATGGCTCAAGTTATATCTAAGCATGCATTATAGTTTATTTGCAGTGGTTTTTTCGGGGTTTTTTTTTTTGTTGTTGTTGCTTTTGCTGTTCTTTTTTAAGATTTTATTTATTTATTTGGGAGAGAGAGCACAAGAGCACAAGCCAGGGTGGGAGTGTGAGAGCAGAGAAGGCCAAGCACAGAGCCCAACACGATGAGCGCAGAGGACCTGGAGATCATGACCTGAACCGAAATCAAGAGTTGGACAACTAACTGACTGAGCCCCCCTGTGCCACTGCACTGTTTCATACTGGTTATGCAATCTAAACCAGATATACAAAGGGCTATAAAAATTCTGTCTCTCCCAACAATAATTCAGAGGCTCACACAAAGATTTATTTGTAAATACAATTACCAAAGCATGATTTTAATAACAAAATAGGAAATAAGATGTGATTTTTTTAGTTTTATTTTTCTTTAAGACTTTATTTGACAGAGCACAAGCAGGGGGAGCAGGAGAGGGAGAGGGAGAAGCAGGCTCCTGGCTGAGCAGGGAGCTCGACGCAGGGCTCAATCCTAGGACTCAGATCATGACCCGAGCCAAAGGCAGACCCTTAACAACTGAGCTACCCAGGTGCCCCATAAGATGTGATTTTTTTTTAATTCATTTTTTAATTTGATACTTTAATCCAAAAAATACTATATTAATATTCACTAAAAGACACTGAGCAAACTAGGATGAACCAAACAAGGTCTCTGTCCTCAAGACTACTGGAAGGAAATATTCCATTTGTTTACTCCTGCTCCCTACACTCTCCTAATGTCCTTTACAATGAGTCAAATCTAATATAAGAAATCAGTCTTCAGATTGCTGCCTAGGCTTTTAAAACTTGTGCTCCAAAGGTTGAAAAAGAAAAACTTTTGAGTTTAATATCAAGAAAGGTATGTAGGATGCCTGGATGGCTCTGTTAGTTAAGCAACTGCCTTCAGGTCTGGTCATGATCTTAAGGTCCTGAGATTGAGCCCTGAGTTAGATTTCCTGCTCAGTAGAGAGTCTGCTTCTCTCTGCTGCCCCTACTCCCAACTCATGCTTGCTCATTCTCATAAATGAATCCTTTTTTTTTTAAATCCTTAAAAAAAAAAAAAGAAAAGAAAAGAAAGCAGGTATGTGCCTATCTCTTAGGTGAACTTTCAGCTTGTTTAGATACAATATTTCAAACCTTATCTCTAACTTTTCTCCATTCTCTTGCACTTCCTATTTTCATGCTCTCCTTAACCAACTACAAGTGCCCTTCCCTCAGCTTGATCACTTAACTTGTCATCTTTCATGTCTTAGCCCTGACAATCCCTCTTTCTATGACACTTCCCTTAGCATACTGAAGTGACATTAACCCTACCCAATTATCTGGTGTGACTGACATTGGCCAGTCAACTTGCTGAGGTAATTCAATTATTTATCTGTACCAAACAGAATGAGACAAAAATAAAGTGAGCACATAATTTCTGCAGGACCATATATAAATTTTAGTCAGATAAGATGGACACTACTATTTAATCCCACTTCACAGTTAATTAGATTTCTTACCAAAGAAAAGGATGTTAAGTTGTCTTGGCATGTTACTTAAATTTAGAATTGTGTGTTTTTAAAAAGTACTCAGTAGTTAAAAAACAAACAAACAAAAACTACTTTCCAAAGAAAAAGTACTCTGGATTAAAAAACATTTGGGTACTACACCTGAAACTCATTTGCCTCCTCCTCTTACATTGTCAGCAATCGACTGAAAAAGTTCAGATATGTCATAATTATCACTTAATTTTAACCCAGGCACACAAGTTAATTTCAAATGCGACATAAGCCACAAGGTTCAAACTTGATGTTAACAAGACATTCTGTTTTCTAAATGAATTGACTGAAGGCACACACTTAAAATGAGAGGTGTAGGAACAGAGTTCCACAATGTAAGTGGTGTCACGACAATAAATTTGAGCTCTATAGCAAGAACTATGCCCCACTTTATCTTTACATCTCCAGCAACCAGCAGTGTCCCTCACATTATAGATGCTAAGCAGTGTCATTTTAAATAATGTTCTCAGTCATGAAATCGCTCCTCCAAAACAATATATCCTCTTTCCCCTTAAAAAAAAAAAAAAAAAATCCATAATATTAGGTGCCCCTGGGTGGCTCAGTGGGTTAAGCCTCTGACTCTTGGTTTCAGCTCAGGTCATGATCTCAGGATCCTTAGAGCAAGCTCCAGGCTCATCAGGGAGTCTGCTTGAGGTTCTCTCTGTCCCTCCCTCCACTGTGCTCTCTAAAACAAATCAATAAATCTTTTAAAACTATATTATTATATGGCATGAACTTTTTATAGATGAAAAAGCATTCAATGACAGTTGAAATGGACTTATTGGGTTTAAATTCACTTGCACTCCTGTTTTCTAAACCTACCCTAGTGGTAGTTTCAATCTTCCCTGTCTGAGTATGTTCTCAAATGCAAGATTCTAAGACTCCATATCACTATTTAAAGGAGAATTTCAAACCCTGGAGCCCTTGGGTGCTTCTGCTAAGCCGCAGTCCTTGGAGCCGCCTTTTAAACGCTCACGTGAGTGAAGCCACGCCCTAAGATGGCGGCAACGCATGCGCGCAGGAAGCGGAGACGCGATTCGGCGTGTGGGTGAGCTTCAGGGTCCTTGGCCTGGGGGTCTGGACCTGAACTTTGGGGCGGTTCCCGCGGCTGTTGCGACGGGACCGCACCCCACCGCCCAGGGCTCATCCTCGGAAACCACCCTGGTTCTGGCTGCGCGCCTTTTCTCTGTGCGACCGACGGCCCCCACACCCTCGACCCCGCGTCAGCGCGTGGGCGTGCGGTGGAGGCGGAGCCTGCTGTCCCAGCTCCGGCGATTGGCTGATTCCGCTTTCCTTTCGCCTTCCTGGCTGCGGAGCTCAGGTGTGAAGTGGCCGCGGGTGTAGGACCCAGCGCTCGGAAGGAATGAGCTTTACTTTTCCAGTGAGGCCTTAACATCGCCCACAGGAGTTTGAGCTATCCGTCAGCCGCAGTTTCCAGAAATAGTTAGGATTTATGTTATTTTTGCGGTCGGTGGAAGATGTTGGCATTTATGTTTGCCTCCGGGAGTGTTTTATTGGCAACTTAAACGACTTATTTTTCCCTAGAAACACTATTCTGTCCCTCAGGGGCTCATGTTGTTATTTTCCATGACAGGTCCTGACGACAATATTTGCAAAAAGTATATAAAGATGATAACCAATATAGTTATATTGAGCCTGATCATTTGCATTTCTTTAGCTTTCTGGATTATGTCTATGACTGCAAGCACCTATTATGGTAAGTATGAATGTTCTGAGTTGTTTTCCTCTAATCTAATTGGTGGAATTGAACATTGCATCATTAATGAAATCCAAAACTTGTATCTTATGAGTGGTTATAAATTATGTTTTCCTAACTTCCACAGCCTGAATTTAATTTACCAACATTAAAATATAAACACTGCTTTGAAGATTTAAAAACTTTAATAAACGCTGCCTCTGATAATACTGGTTAAACATTTCAAAATACATTTCTACGTTGTGTGTAGTTATTACATCTACATGAGAAATAAGTGAAATGAAATACAGTTTTGTAAACCAGTTGCAGTGATGCTTTTAATAAGAATGTCTGTAAGTAGTTTATCAGTTTTAAATATCCTGTAAAAATAGTAATAAAAATAAAAGGTTGTACAATGTTTACATTTGGAGTTTTGGAGGATTTGTCTGGTCTTTGGTCACTTCAAAAGAACAGACATCTTTTTAAAATCTGAAGCCCCACTTTATAAGATATTCTGGACTCAAGCCTAGACAGTTTTGAATACTCCTTCGAGTTTAAGTATGCCTTTACAGAAATTTCCTTGGTACTCCTATAAAAATGGAATTCTGTTCAGCTGAAAGGAAAAAGTGAGAGTGAGAAAGGGATTGCCATTTCAGACCTTAGCCTTTTTCAGAGACATGTGAATAATCGAATGAGTGGTGTTCAGGTTCAGAAGCTTTCAGACTTATTCATTCATAATGATTCACAGTAGAGCATGAGGGTTTGAAGAGAAGAGGTATGAGAGGAAATTCTTGTTTGTGCTATTATTTTTTGTTTGTGCTATTATTAAGTCTGACTTGAACTCAATGGAATAAACCTGGATTTATAAACCAAAGTGTCCCTCTGGAACCAGGCACCTGATTTTTGCATCTTAAACACACAAGAATTGTGTTCATTTTCAGAAGTAGAATTTTTTTTTTAAGATTTTATTTATTTGACAGAGAGAGATCATAAGCAGGCAGAGAGGCAAGCAGAGAGAGAGAGGAGGAAGCAGGCTCTCCGCCGAGCAGAGAGCCCAATGCGGGGCTCGATTCCAGGACCCCAAGATCATGACCTGAGCCGAAGGCAGAGGCTTAATCCACTGAGCCACCCAGGCGCCCCCAGAAGTAGAATTTTTGTTTTTGAACATTTGGCCTGCTTTGCCTTCCGTTTTCCCATTTTTGATAGAAATGTGGGCCATAGTAATAGTTCACATTTTTCGTCACTGTACTTAACTTAGTCTTGGTGTGTAGGAGTCTGTCAGGAACTGTGGGGATTTTAAACGAGAAAACTCTGACCTGTCTAAAGAGGGTGGTCTCTCTCCACTGTGGTCAGTTCTGCCGTGTGGGCCTGAGCATCCAGTTTTTAAAACAGAAGCCAAGGTTCTGGGTTTTTATATGAAATCTCCTAATCTTTAAATATTGACTCCCAACTCTTTGAAAACATTATGCTAGCCAAACAAACAAACAAAAACATCTGTGAAGTGAATGCGACCTTTGGAAAAATCAGTTGCTAAAGCTGAATAGAGGTGTGTAGCCTGTAAGAATGTTACTTTAAAAAATAAATCTCTCTAAAAAGCAGAAAGAGGAATAATTGAATCCTGCTAAGAAAGTAGTTTGTTCTGTACAGTTCTTTTTTTTTTTTTTTAAAGATTTTATTTATTTGACAAAGACCTAGTGAGAGGGGGAACACAAGCAGGGGAAGTGGAAGCAGGGAGACTGATGTGGGGCTCAATCCCAGGACCCTGGGATCACAACCCCAAAGGTAGACACTTAACAGCTGAGCCACCCAGGCACCCCATGCTCTGTACAATCCTTGAGATTTAATACATGCCTCCTTTTCAAAACAGTGGGGAACAAGATATATATTTCAAATCTCCAAATATGTATGAAGTACCAAAACTTAGTACTTACTTGGTCATTTCCCAAAAGGACTGTCTCTCTGGAAATACACAAATCTTAACATATTTTACTTTGGTGACTTCATCTCGGTTTCTCTGCTTATGATAGTATTTTAATCCAGAATGCAGTTATCAAAGCTTATAGCCAAGACTTACCTGTAAATTTAATTTTTTAGGTAATTTACAGCCTGTTTCTCCTTGGCGTTGGCTGTTTTCTGTTGTTGTTCCTGTTTTGATCGTCTCTAATGGCTTTAAAAAAAAAAGTCTAGACCACAGTGGGGCTTTAGGAGGTATGTTTTTCTTTTAACTGTTTATGTAATAAGTGCTTGCTTATATAATTTAAACTCATGTTTTCTAAATTCTGAACTTATGAGACTATAAATCCCATTATGCATTTTAGACCATGATAAAGTTGTCACTCAGCATTCCTATTCTGTCAAAATTTCAGATACTGACATACTCAGTGCAATGTACAAATTTAACTTTCAATTGATATCAAGTGGATTAATAGGATAGATTTTTTAGTTCCTTGATTATTTTGCTCTTTCAGTTGTATTAAATTACCTGCTGTCAGAAACATTGGAGCACTCCTGGTAGGTGTACAGTAGAGGAGCTGTTGGAAAGAATCATTCTAGGAAATTGCTATTAGTAGCCTCAAACAAAGCAGTCCAAACTAAGTATCTTAGATTTATTTTTCATAACTGAGTTAGGGATAGGCCAGATTTTTGTTCTTTTAGGACATATTTATTGAGTACTTACTATATGCCCCTCTTTTGGAAACTGGGGATATGGCTGTGAAAAAGGCTGAGATTTCAAGTTCTGGTGGAACTTTTATTCTTTATAACAGTTAGGTAACAAAATACATAAAACTTTTTATATAATGATAAATTTTATGAGAAAAATTAAGATAATAAGATGTGTATGTTAGGGAATGTGGGCATTCTTTTGTATATAGGGTCAAGCATAACCCTTTACTCTAAGGAGGTAGTTTTGAACCAAAACTTGAAGAAGCTAGCAGTGAGAAGGTCTGAGACAAGCATGTTCCAAGCTGACAGAATAACATGTGTAAATACCCTGACATATACTCTGGCTTATTTAGGTATGAGAATAGACTCATTTGACTGGAAAATACTTAAAAAAAAAAAAAGGGAACATAGAAAATTAAAGAAATAGGCAAGGACCAGGTAATAAGGAGTCTTGGACACAGTAAAGATTTTTTTTTTTTAAGATTTATTCATTTTAGCAAAGAGAGCATGTGTGTATGAGTAAGAGCTCATACGAGGGAGGGGCAGAGAGAGAGAGAGAGTCCCAAGCAGACTCCCCACTGAGTATAGAGCTTGATGCAGGGCTGACCCCAGGACTCTGAGGTGATGACCTGAGCTGAAACTGATGCTCAACCAACTGAGCTACTCAGGTGCTCCATAGTAAAGATTTTATTCCAAACTAGGTGGAATCTCCCCTGCCTCAAATCAAGGGGGTGACATGATCTGATGTGACATCAGGACTTTCATATAATGCTAGTGTTATAAGCCCCAAGCCATGAGGATTCCCCCTCAAATACTACATGCAAGATGAGATCACTACAGAATGATATTTATTTATTTGTTTATTTATTTTTAAAGATTTTACCCATTTGACAGAGAGAGACACAGTGAAAGGGGAGTTGGAGTGGGAGAAGCAGGCCTCCCGCCAAGCAGGGAACCTGACTCGAGGCTTGATCCCAGGATCCCAGGATCATGACCTGAGCCAAAGGCAGACACTAAATGACTGAGCCACCCAGGTACCCCCAGAATGATGATTATTTAGAACTGGGAGGTCTTTTTTTTTTTAAATTATTTTTTAGATTTTATTTATTTATTTAGAGAGAGCATGCACTTGGGGACAGAGGGACAGAGGGAGGGGGGAAAGAGAATCTTAAGCAGACTCTGTGCTGAGTGCACGGAGCCCAACACAGGGATCCATCTCAGGTTCCTGAGATCTTGACCTGAGTGGAAATCAAGAGTCGGTCACTTAACTAACTGAGCCATCCAGGCGCCTCTCCTAGAAGCGTGCCTTCATGTTGAAGCCATCTACCCAACCTTCAAAATACTGCTACTGGTCATTAGTCCTAATTTAGCACTGTAAACACACTCTGCTGCCTCTGATCTCATTGAGAGATTATTTCGAGAATAAGGAGGATCACATGAGGGGACATATGGGAATGTGACTATAAACTGTAAAGCACTGAGTAGATGATTTGTTCGAAGGAGGTGGTATCATATAGTCCACTTGTTCATTGTGTTCCTTTGAACTCAGTATGGACAGTCTGTCATTGGATTTTTGGCTTGACAAGTTTTATTATTTTTTAAAGAATATATTTACTTATTTGTCATCGAGCAAAAGCAGAGGGAGCAGCACGCTGAGGGAGCAGCAGGCTCCCTGCTGAGCAAGGAGCCCAATGTGGGCCTCGATCCCAGAACCCTGGGATCATGACCTGAGCCGAAGGCAGATGCTTAACCAACTGAGCCACACAGGCATCTCTTGACTTGACAAGTTTAAATTTAATTTCACTTACCAGGACTATTCAGCTTGGTGGCTTACTGGTTTTTTTCCCAGTCATTCATTCAACAAGTGTATTGTTAGGGTCTCCTATATGCCACATACTTTTCTCGGCACCTAGGATTTAGTAATAAACAAAATGGATAAAAATCCCATTGTCAGAGAGCTTACTGTTTTAGTCAGGGGACACAGATGATAAAAGAGATGGGTTTGAGGCATTTAATCCCCAGAGCTATATGCTGTAAGTGTAGTGGAAATGCACGCAAATGGAGAATTGTCTAAAAAGGCCAGTGCTTGTGCTTCATGTGATTTCACAAGAGTGGCCTTGCTTTTTTTAAGTCACCAAATTGTGTCTGGTGTTCAGTCTTTCTGAAATAAAAGCGTCATTTTGTCAGATAGCCAGAGCTGATCAGAACTAATAAAACCAGTATCTGTTGCTCATTGTCTCATGGGACTGGTATATGAGTCAGAGTTCAGACATAGTTAGGAGTTGCAGAAAATACCAAGGTATTTTTAGACTACATGAAAGAAATCATTCTTTAAAAGTACATTGCCTTAAGTTTATTTCTTCATTCTGAACCTGTCATCACCATGAACACTGATCATTTCATGTGGTATTTCAAGGTGATTGAAGTAAAAAGGATGTAGATGATTTGTAGCAGATGCTTAACTGACTGAGACGCCAACAGAAAGACTTTCTACAGAAATAGAAAGCTGGTCCCCTGTTCTATTATTTAAGAAAATACTATTTAATACTAAACACCTGTTGAATGTCTGTTCCATTAATAGTTTTGTTTAACATGTTAACAAAAATCTTTATATAACAAAACAATATATTTATCTTAAGAGTTACAGAGAATGGAAGTTATTTTTTTTTGTTTTGTTTGTTTGTTTCCATTTTAACCAGGCTTCACGTTCAACACAGGGCTTGAACTCACAACCAGAAGATTAAGAGTTGCGTGCTCTACCGACTGAGCTAGCCAGGCCTGAGAATGGAAATTGTTAATGATAAAGTTAGTCAGGGATGGAAGAATTTGTACTTAGAAATACAAGCAGACAGCCTGGACAGGGCTGCACAAGATAACAGTGCCTTAGTGTGGTTGTCACATTTTAGGAAGCCAGTCCCCAGCCCTGCAGGGCCAGAGGTGGATTCTCTTCAGACCCTCTACCCCAAACTGGAAGTTTAAAGCACCCAAACTTATAAGAGACTAATTAACAAAGAATGTAAATTTCTTGAGTGCCACTGATCCGTGTGCTCAACAGCAGAGTTAGCACATTCTCTCCCCAAAAGGAGGTCTATAAAATTATTATTTAAAAAGTGCTTATAAAAGGGCACCTGAGTGGCTCAGTTAGTTAAGTGTCTGCTTTCAGCTCAGGGCATGATCCCCCGGTCTTAGGATCGGGCCCCATGTTGGGCTCCCTGCTCCGGGGAGCCTGCTTCTCCCTCTCCCTCTGCCCTTCCCCCTGCTTGTGCTCTCTTTCTCTTTCTCTCTGTGTGTCAAATAAATAAATAAAAGCTTTTAAAAAAGTGCTTATGGGGTGCCTGGCTGGCCTAGTAGGTAGAGTATGTGACTTTCGCTCTTGGGGTTGAGTTCAAGCCCCACTTTGGGCGAAGAACTTTAAAAAAAAAAATGTGCTTATCAGTTGGAAAGAACACTTAGAGAATGCTACCTGTTATGTAAAGAAGAAAGAAAGATAAGAAAACATGCATTATATATGCTTTATAAAAAGAAACACAGTAATGATATGCTAAGAAACAATAAAGTTTGTTATCTACAAAGAATGGAGGGAGAGCAAAATGTGGAGGGAGAGAGGGGCAAAGGGACCTGGGAGGAAGTGACCCTTTTCTTAGTATACGTTTTTGTGTAAGTTTGACCTTTGAAAGCATGCTAGTGTTCTACATATTTAAGAAAGAAAATAGTAAGGATGGGAAAAGAGGGAATCTAAAATTGAAAGCAAACTAAAACAAATGAACCCAATTGTATTTTGAATCAATACTATAAGCATACTGGAGGGAAAAAAAGAAAACTTAGGAACATAGCATTTAACTATATTCCTTCAGTCTTAGATTAAGGGAAGGGGAGAACGCCAAACAAATCCTAAATTATTTTAGTGTGGTTCTGAAAGTTTTAACGTGATAGGGGATTGAGAAAAATGAGTGAAATTAGCATTGTTGTTTGAAACCAGGTTCTTACCATGGAAAGAGGCATTCAAATGTGGAATGGGGAAAAGCAAGAGAAAACCTGCAGAGATGGATTGTAGTTGGAGTTATTGGTGTGATCTCATGATTTCTAAAATACGTGTGTGTGTGTATATATACATGTATATATGCGTATGTATATGCATGTGTGTATACCTTGTGTTCATGTGTGTGTGTGTGTGTGTGTGTGTGTATTCACTTGCCCTGTCCACAAAAAGCAAATATACCCCAGTAGCAAAGAACACACTGTGAGCCTAGATCTTGACCCTCAATATCGTTCCCCACTAAAATGTACCAAAACTCCTTAGAGAGATGACCGGTTCCAGGACTGGGGAAAACTGGGTTTGGGAAGAGGTTAGAGCATCTTGTTACACCAGAAAGAAAGAAAATGTGAGAAAGAAGAAAAAATACGGGTTTAGGTCATATGGTTCAGAAGTGAGCTTACCTATTTTGTCTGGTATTAGTGTAGCCACTTCTCTCTTTTGGTTACTGTTTGCATGGAATATCTTTTTCAGTCCTTTTACTTTAAACCCATTTAAGTCTCTATAGAGT